GGAAAATTTGTATTATAGCTATTAAGAACATTTTCTTCCCTGGTATCTTCCATTTCATTAATATCATTGTCTGAATCACTTTCAACGATTTGGATATTCATAGGCGATGACATCTTAAAATAATTAACACGTGATTTAGGTTTATAATACAAATGAAAATATAAATTACAAATTGAAAATATATTTCAATTTCTAAATTAAATAATAAATCATAAAAATTATAATTAATTATGATATTATATTTAAATTTCCATGTTTATACTTACCTTCATTATATTTTTTGAAAGTATAGCTACTTTCAAAAAAAGTAGCACGCTTAAAAATTAAATAATTACGAAAAAAATAGCCGCTATTAGCTATAGCTACCAAAAAAGATAGCCTTTAACAACTCTGGATAATATTTCTTAAAAATATTAAAAATTGGAGATCATATTCATTTCGAAATATTAATTTTAAATTTTCTACTGACCATAAGATGGCTCATTGTTAATAAAAATTAATTTTGATGTTTTCGCCATAATTATCAATTATTGACTTAGCTATTGATATTAGATTCAATTTTGATAATATTTAGTTTTAAATGGAAAACTAGTTGTTTAACATCAGTAAAAAGCAAAAAAAGACATTATTTGGACCTTTAACCCCGATTATCTCCGCTAATATAGTTGATAATGCGCTAAAATTTTGTTTATGATCTAATGTGAACATATATAACCAGCCTACAATTTTTTATCGAAATAGAAAGGGGTCGGCCTATAAGTGATTGATTTAACATAGAATGACCATAATTGATGATAATAATGCAATAGCCAAAATGTCATTCATCTATCACACAATAAAACTTTTGCTTAGTTATTTATATATACAATTCAACTTATTGCCTATACTCTTTCCTGATTTTAAAAATATCACAAAGCATAAAATATAGAAGAGCAAAAGCCTCAAAAATTGTTTTAAATATCCTATGTCCTGAAACTAAGAAATACATCTTAGAGGATTTGAAGGAAAATCATCCATTTTCTCTATTAATGGGTGCATTAAATATGGAAATACTAAATCAATTAAAATAATGCTACGCTATTTTTAATAAAGAAAAATGCTTCTAAACTTCTAAAAAAATTTTATTTTATCAGACTAGTAGAAATCGAAGGATATTGCATTTATGCTTGTTGACCCTTTAAAATTCTTACTATCTTTTTGTGCCGATATTGCAAGTGGAAATTTTGGAATATAAATATTATTCACATTGGTTGCTTGTGCCATACAATTTACAATGTAAGAAGAAAGGGGCATTTTTGATTATCAATAGACATGGAAATAATTGCTATGAATTGTTATGCCAAATTTGGCAGATCCACAAACAGGTTATCTGTTTTTAAAAATAATGGATTCTCAAGATTTTGAATAGTCTGAACTTCTACAAATTGTTCCAACAATGTGGCTAGCATTACCTACTCTCTAAAGACTTTTAAAATTATTTAGCTGTTAAATCTTATTTTTTATCCCCAAAAATCCTAAATCAATATTAAAATTATTTTTGAAAAATTAGGGACAACCTTAAAAACGTGGTTAAAAAATTGCAATCCGAAAATTCAATTAAATTAGTATTAACTTTAAAAGCCCAATTTATCAATAACTTTTATGGCTCGGTTATAAGACAAAATCTTATAAAATGTGATGACCATGATAAAATCGCATCATCTTATGAAGCTAAAAAATTCATTGAAACAATAATTATTTAGAAAAAAAAATAGTTTAAAATGAGAAATTTCAAATATTATAAGTTCGATAATAATAATCAATTTTAATATAAAGCATAGCGAATTAGATGAATTATTTCAGGAATTCGTTGGTTTAAATACATTATTAGAACAAAATAATAATATATCGAATTTGGCTCATGAAAACAAATATGTACTTTTTTCATGCGCCAAATTTTGAAAAAATGTGCAATGTTATATTCTCATTATCATGTTCAAGCCCTGATTAAAAAAGCGCATGAATTTTTGGCGGAAAGACCATAGAAGCGGAATTAATGATCAAACATAATCTTAATTATAGTGCGCACAAATTGAGCATTTGCGTTTGCAGTACGTTTTTTAACGTAATGCATCTGTGTTTAAATTGAAAGCAGTACGTTTTTTCTTTGTTTAAAATTGAATCGTGATTTTATTTTTATTAAAATATGGACATATTAAGTTTACAAGATAAGCAAATTATTGCTTTATATTTAATTATTAAAAAACCAAAATCTACTAAGACGAGAAGGAAGACTACTAAAATATTCATGGATAGAAATTTATTCAAAGATTTTTTAAATTCATAAATGATTTTTAATGTATAGTATTTAAAAAAATCTACACACATTTGTAAATTTATTTATTTATCCTACCTTAATATATTTATAATAATCTACATATTTAAATAAAAATGCTAAATAAATTTATAAAAGTTTTTTTATTTGTATATATTCACCTTAAATAGAATAAGATATCTATTATATAAAAATAAATAGATTAACAAATAATGCAAATATAAAAATTTTAAATATATTTTTCTTTCTTTAAGAATAAAAATGATCACTAGAACATGTAAGAGAGTATTAAATGTCTTATTAAAATAATAAAATTTTATTTCATTTAATTTATTATATTTACATAAGGTGATGTCAAAATAAAATATTGGCTCAATAAACCATAAAAGTTATCTATATAAAAGGTCAATATCTTAAAATTACAAACACTATTATTTTTTTTACATATTCTGAAGATAATATTGGCTAAATTATGGTTAAAAAAAATGCAAGGATACATTAGATTTATACTTATCCTAGCTTGTAATCTTTTTAAAATATAGTGGTATTTTTTAGATTAAAAAAATATGTAAATGAATTAAAATCCTAGAAAGGCTTCAAATTTAGATCTCTAAATAATTATTGTTTCAAAATTTATAATATATATACACACTACTACATCTTAATAGCTCCCAAATTTTAGCTTATATTTTTTTCAAAAATGGACACTATAATATAGAATATTACTTTATTATAAATATATAAAAATAAAAATATTTACAATACAAAAATATTTAAGATATTATATCATTAAATAAAGATAAAGGTGTATCATTTGAAGGTGTTTCTGTTGAAGTAGATATTTCAACATTAGTTTGATATTTAGATTGCAACATCAAACTATGATACAATCTTGATGTCTCACTTTTGAAGAGGTATCTATTATTATGGTCCATGCTTTCTAAGCCTGCTTCCATTGATAGTAGATACAATCTAAAATTATATTAAATTTATAGATAAAAATATATATTTTACTGGCTCTCGGATGGCACCTTTTCCTAAAGAGCCAAGAGTCTTTCCTCTACAAGTCTATTTACTTTTGACCCACTGGGCTATAAATATAAATGAATAAATTATATAAAATATCATTTAATATATTCTAAAATTATATAAATATAAATTTATATATTCTAAATGTTATAATATCAATTAATATATGAGATAAATTTATACTTACATTTTTGTATCCATTTAAATTTTCCCGCAAAAATAAAAAAGCACAAAAAAATCAAACCAGATTGCTTTTTTTTTAACGCTTGCCGTAAAAAAATCCAATTTGCAACACCATTTAAAATTCATTATTTGCTTTTAAAACGGAGCGTTGAAAAGCTCAATTTGTACGCACTATTATACTTGTAAAGATTTTAAGGAATATGTAACAAAAAATAAAAATTTAATTAATAAAATCTTCCGAAAAATAAAAATAAAGATGTGATGATTTTTTAAATCACTTCAAGTAAAATAATATACGATCTTCCTTTATTTTACTGTTGCGTATTAGATATGTTCATTTAAAGGGCCATGCCGATCCACAATTTTTCACCTATCCGATCCAATATTTTTTGATTACTTAAAAACCACCCGCCGATATTGATCCTATATTTATATTGATCTTTATTTACCATCTATTTTTGTAACAATGTCATTAAAATATCAATATTTTCTTTTTTAAAAAAAACCAACTAACTTTCACGAATGATTAAGTTTATTTTTTTTCTTTGTAAAAGTTAATAATCTCATTAAAAATATTTGCAATGTTCATGGGTGAATGTAGAGTTGTTAAATAGTTTTATTTATCCGATTTTTAATGGGGGTGGGGGGTGGTTTGCCCCCAGTATATATGATACCATTTCAAAATACTAATATTGACATTCTATAATTAGCTAAATCAAGATTTTAAAAATATTACCTAAGAATCGAAATATCGCCAATAAAATTTAAACCTTTCTGCTATCTATGGGCAAAATCAATAAGTTTGAGTAATTTACTGGCCAAAATCTGAATTAAACTTTTAAAATTTACTAAATCGAGCCGTTTATCTACACTAGCTGAATGTGACTCGTTAGATATTTTAAAATACCTTTCTTTTTGCAAATAATATAATTAAAAAAAAATAGTGTAAAATTTTACTGATTTTTAAACATTACAACAAATAAATCGTATTTTAGTTCCTTCATTAATTTATTATATGAAATTATAAAATAAGAATTTTTTTTTGAATCATGGTTAAATCCCCCCCCCCCCTCCACCTTTTGTTTGAATGAATCTGGCAACTCTGGCTATTATTAGGTTACTAAAATATATTTGAATAAATATTTTAACTTAAATTTACATTTTTAAAAACAAAAATTTATTTGAGTCCATATTTTGGCCATTGTAAGGTTGAAATCTAAAATTTTTCTTACAACTCTCATTTATTGTGTAAATCACCAGTATATATTTTTAAACATTTTTATTTATATCTATAATCTTTCTAAACAACAGATGATCCTTTCACAATTTTATAGGCATGGTTATGTACCTAAACAATTTGTTTTCATTAAAAGATGGATGATACCTTGAATTTGGCAACCACCACTATCTCCTTAAATTTTTTTTACTTAATGTAAGGCATTTAAAAAAAATTATATTTAATATTAAAATCTAGCAAAGAAATTTCAAACCTCAATATGGGAAAAACCAGAGAGGAAATAATCAGCAAAATAGGAATATGAGGTAAGAAGATTAAATATGAAATATTTGATTTGATTATTACTTTTACATGTTATTTTATAACTTGCTTAACATAAAATATTTCTCTAAAATTAAATTCAATCAAGGCATCAACAATATCAATCTAACGCAAATAGATCTTTTAACAATCAATCAAACATGTCTAATGCTAATATGGCCAATTCTGGTGGTATGGGAGGCAATAAAAACACAAGCGTAAATGGTAAATTTTCGTTTAAGATATAAAGTTGTTATTTCAAGTTTATGATGTGACTAATAAAAATTCTTTCCATATCTGCAAGCCTAAAATAAGTCAGAAACCGACAGAGTTAGCTACCCATTTTAAAGTTCAGCCCAATTTATTTTAGTCCATGTTTGATTATTTCTTATCTTATTCACTAGTAATTTGCCGAATCTCTAATAAATTGAGCATATAAAGTAAAAACAATAACTTGGTATTGATTGATATGAAGATAATAGCTATTTAATTGTAAAAAAATTTTAACTTGAAAAGAAATCACGAATTTCAAGGAAAATTAAAATCTCAAATTTAGGTTAATAATTCAAAATTCAATATTTTTAAGAAAACCGGTTCAAAATATTTATAACAGTTCGGTTCGCTCTTTTTATTTCTTTAGAACCGTCCGGTTACGGTTCAGAAAATTATGATGGTTCATATCGGTTTCGCGGTTCGGTTTGAAGCCCTGGCTAAAATAAGGATAGATATGCCCGCCTGATTAAGTCTCCATGATTCTATTCCAAATATTTAAAAATATATCAAACAAAATAATAATTTATCATATATTATGCTTATGCATGATATTTTAATAGAAAATAAAATTATAGGCCCAAGTGAAGTATAACCATAAAAAGATTTAAACATTAAAAATTCGAAAAAGGCCTGTCTTTAAACGGTTAACGGTTTAAATAGTATTTGATTCCTACCACCGGTCTATGAACTTTGAACCGGCCCATAATCTATAATATATCAACTTATGCTATTAGTATTCGAGATCTGCAAATCATGGCCTGGCCCGAGGTCTATTTAAAAAATAATAATTTCGGTTATGGCTGGATCATGCCTAATATTTAAAAAAAATTCGGGTCCGGTCAGGCTTAAAATTTGTATATGATATAACATTTTATTAAATAAATTAATAAATTTTAAAATTTTTGTAAAAAACAAGGATCTATTTTTTATTTGTTCTATATTTAAATAAATTCGGGCTTGGCCAGGCGGACAAATAATAAAATTTGTTTAGGATCGGACCTGGTTGGGCACATTTTTTTAAAAAAAAATTGGGCTAGGCCGGGCTTGGGAAATTAAGCACGATGCAGATCACACATTACATGACTTAGAACCCTGCAAATTCTATTTTTTTGAGATTGAGCCCAGTTCGAAATTATTATTTTGAACTCTAGCTCTGCCCAGCCCTTATTTAAAAAAAATAACCATTTTAGTTAAATAAAATAGAAAACCACTAATTGCTCTATACTAATTCTATAGAAATTCTAATTATCGTTTTTTTAAGGGTTTCTTTTTTATTTTTTAAAATCGGTTTTTAAGCCTGGATTTTGATCCGGGTTTTCCCTAGTATTAACCTGATTTCATGCTGTCATGCCTCTTATGTGATTTATCAGACCTTGTCGATACCTCGATATAAAAATCTATATTGCAGTCAAACGAGGGATCTTAGGTGAAAATTTGCGAGTCTAAGCCAAGCTATTAAACCCTCAATAAACAATTTTTTTTCAGTATAACAAATAATTAACTAAATTTAAACCTAACCATTAGCCGGCCAAGGTTATCAAAGGCATCAACAAAGGCACCACCAAAAGTTTTTCCGGTTTGCCACAAAATCAGCCGTTCCAGTCAAAATTCATCGGGAATCTTCTGTTAGAATAAAACCAGATTGGAACGTGATCGAAGAACTGGATTTTCAAGACCTTAATAAAATGGCCCTACCTAACATGGACAAGCCTACGGATATGTAAATTATAATATTATTTAGTACATCAACCAAAAAAATGTGAAAGAGTTTCTTGAAAGTGATTGATATTCACCTTAATTGACTTTTTAGAATAATTTTAAGGAGTTTGATAATCCTGGTTGATATCACCAACTTCGAGATAAATCAATACATCTTTCAATAATATAATCTAACAATTTTTGAAATGTCAAATGCATTATCGCCCTATTGTTCTAACTTAAAATTGCTACTTTTTAAAATAAAATTTTTTTAATATATTGCGCCATCATGCAGTTATATTTATATATATATGTTATATAAAGGACATCAAACTTAATTAAACAATTATTGTATTATAAAAAAATAATAATATAACAAATAAAAAGTCAAGACTCTTATTTTTAAAATCAATTGAGCCTTATTGATTAGTATTTTATATTCAAATGTCTTCATTAAAAACTTACTTGATAATTTAAATATTTATATATATAATATGATACATTGTTTAATTTTATTATTCCAAAAGCGCATTTTACAATTCTTGCTAGCTCTTGATAGAATGAATAAATTTTTTTAATTCATATATTAATAATTTTATAAAATATTTAGTAAGCTTTGCTATAAATTTTATGGCTCAATCATCGAAATGCTACATTTATAGTAAATATAGTTTTCCTTTTTAAGGGTCAGGTGGGGAGAGATCTTTGTGAATTATTAAGGCGCGTATCCAGCGGGGAGGGGGCTAGAAATGATTCCTAGCGAATTTTTTTTAAAAAATATGAAAAAGCTTAGGCGCATAGCCAGAGATAGGGGAGAAATCCCCCGTCCCATAGCAAGAATTTTTGAAAAAATATAAAAGGGTTTCATGAGTTGTGAATTGCAAAGCTTTCTATTTCAAATAGGTTATATTCTTTTAAATATGAGCAAAAAGTTATAATTAATTTAAATATTTATTTCCTGTATATTAATATTTTATCTTAGAAAAATTTAAAGTTTAGTTTCTTACATTTTTTGACCCTCAAACAATTATGGATTAAGAAAATTTTATCAACCAAAAAAAATCTATTTTATTTATTTTAACTAATAACTATGATTAAAAGATTTCTAGAAAGTATGAAATGTTCAGAATCCAAATAGACAGAATTTGCTGAATATAATTATTACTGAGATTTCTTGTGCTACAGGAAAAAAGAAACTGAAAAAAAAGCCTTCACGACAAGTGATCGCCTATTTTGTATGCCCTTGGAGAAATATCAGAATAACCTGAAACGCATTTTTCATCTGAAGCTGATACATTATAGATTTAATATGACTGCCAATTTTTTTTGGAATGTATTAATAAATTAATTAACAATAATTCTATGCATTATTTATCTAAGAAATGGATTTGACTGAAGTTATGAGAATTGCGAATATTATTATATTATCAACCAGGAATTTCTCGAGATTTATTTGATTGATTAGGTATTTGATAAATATTAACGTGGATTCAATTGAGGATCATTATAAAATAACTATTTTTATCCCACTTTTGAATTTAATTTTGACTCAAATCAATGACCGATTTGATATTTATCAAATGACTATCCAATCTCATAACTCCCTCTGCTGAGGATATATCAAATTTTGATATTGAAAAATTAAATATTTAGATAAATTTTATTCAGAGGATATAAATATATCTGTAGGCCAATTAATTTCATAATTTAAATGGTATGAAAGATTCATTTTTGTAGATAATCCTCCAAGAAATACAGTAGAAATTGCATACTTTATATTTGATAAGTTTTCCAAATTAATTAAAATTATTTTATATTTTGGCAAAGATACTAATTAGTACAAACACAAATGAGTGGACCTTTTCTTCATTACATACAATAAAAATCTATATTAAAAGTATGACTTCTTAAAATTGATTGAATAGACTAATTTTACTTATCGATCCCCAACAAAAAATAAATTATCAAAAAAAAAGATTAAATTTTTATGATGAACGATATTTTGATTAACTTTTTAAATCATTATAAAATGTTTAATTTTATATGGTTATTGAGATTTTAAATACCAGTTTATATAACTATAATATTTATTAACCATATTATATTTCGCTGTTAATATTTTGTATTTTCCAATTTTTATTATTTGAGTTCGAAATTATCATATTTTCAAATATGTTTGGTTCTAATAAATTATATGAGGATTTGTTCTAATAAATTTTTAATCCTCCAAAAAAAAATCATTTCAATATAAAAAATTATCCCCTCCCTTAGAAAATTCCTGGCTATGCGCCTGGAACTATTTTTAAAGCCAAAGCCAACTGAATTTTGGTTTATATTTGAGCACACAGACTTATTTTTTTAAATTTAGGCCAGTGCTCCACTCCAATTTATATTTAAAGCCCAAGCCCAGCTAGACCTTTAAGTTTTTAATCGAAAAAATATAAATTAAAACGAATTTTTTATATAGTTAAATAAATATAAAATTTACGAATGTAGTAATTTTTGCATTAAAAGATCAAATATTTTTTTAAAGGTCCAATCAGAGTTGTTGAACACTTATTTAAAAGTAACGCGCTACCGCTATTTGTCAAAAAAGTAGCGCGCTAAAAAATGTAGCTCTAGCTACTTTTTATAAAAAAAATTTAGTAACAAATTTGTTTTATTTTTTGCTTATAATATAATTTTATAGTAAATAATATATATAAATAACATTTATAAATATTGTAGTTAGTTTTGATTATAAAAAAATTTATGTAATAAAAATAAATATTTATGGTAATATTCATTTTTTTATTTATTTTGTTGCATTTTAATAATAAAATCATTTCAATATTATCATCACCAAGTCTAGAGCGACGATCAGAAAGTATAAGTTTCGCCTTACTAAATAATCTCTCAACACTAGCACTTAAGGGCAAGGCAATATTTAATTTTATATACATATTTTTAATATAAGAAAAATTATCAAAATACTCATTTGAAAAAATCGCGTCGAAGGGATTTTCTATTATATTTTTATTTCAAAAAAAATTATCAGTGGAAGTCATTTTTGGGGTTGTAACTAGGCCATTTTTGTTTGGTATGCTACTATCCAACTTTACCATGAGCCTATTACTTTGATCTTTAACATCATCGGAATTGATATATGGCCAGTTTAGTTTTAATTTGAGATGAATCATTGCAGCTAATACATTATCATCATTATATAGGTTGGGGAATCTAAAATTTACAAAAATAGTGTATTTAAAATATATCTTAATCATAAAATTTTATAAATTTTTAGCTTATTAACTTTAAGTTAGAATAAATTATTCAGAAATAAAAACAATATAAATTTTATTTACCTTCCCTCAATGCCTTTTAACATAGAATCTACTAGGGGCTGGCATAAGATTAGATTATTCAATCTGTAATTTTGTAATTAGGCTTAAAGTGGGAACATAATACCCCATCATCTCCATATTATCCCCATCTTTCAAAATTTAAGGAAAGAACCACATCACATATTAATCCAATGATATGAAATTGAATAATTATTAATTAGAATTACTTCTGTATACACATTTATAAATGATTAATATATTGAATTTCAACATGATCACAGAGAAAATTTATTTCTAATCTTCTTTCATCCAGAAAAAAATGCCATTAATTTGCGTGGTATACTAAGTTCCATCTAGTAGTTAGGAGTTAATAAATACCTGCCTAGTTTTTTTCTAAAATATGTCTGAGCATTTAGAAGATTTGTTCTGCTTATTTCATAGAGTTGATGCCCTTTTAAAATCTTCATTTTTTAGGGCTCCTTCAGCATCCACTGTTGCTAACAAATTTAGATTATGCCCTGAGCATCTCTGATAACTAGGCATTAGAGCATTTTTCATCACTTTAAAGTTATCTGCTATCTTATTCATTAGTGTCTGGCTACATAAAATTGTTTTACCAGGGGATAGTTTTAATCATCATGGTAAATGATGTATATCAATCAAGGATGAACTGTATCAATTATAAAATCAATAATTTTTTCAGCCTGTTTCTAAGAAATATGCATGTGCATTATTAATCAACTTGGTTGGAATTGAATTGGTCTTTGGATGTAAAGTCGCCTATACGAAAATTATTTAGATGTTTTTCTATTTCTTTAAAACTGTTGGCATGAACATTTTTATAAAAATAAATACTATTAGAATTTAAAAATGACAATTACCATTAGGTGTTTTTTGAGGTTATAACTACTGGATTGATTTGAGGATATATTTTTACATTTTAAACAAATAAATTTGTAGCTGGTTTTGGTTTTTATATTAATTTCAAAATATTTTTCAAATTTTGGAAATGGGAAATGTGTATTGTTATTAAGAACATTTCCTTCCCGGGTCTCTTCCATATCATTAATATCATCGTCTGACTGATTTTCAACGATTTGGATATCCATTTGCGATGACATTTTAAATAATTTACACGTGAATTAGGTTTATAATACAAATTGAAAATATAAATTACAAATTGAAAATATATTTCAATTTCAATAATAAATCATAAAAATTATCATTAATTATGATATTATATTTAAATTTTCATGTTTTTAGTTATATTAATTATATTTTTAAAAAGTAGCTAAGTAGCGTTAACTTAACTAATTTCAAAAAAAGAGCGCGTTAAAAAAATAAATAATTTTAAAAAAAGTAACGCGCTATTAGCTATAGTTACCAAAAAAGATAGCGCGCTACAAGTAGCTCGCTACTTTAACAACTCTGGGTCTAATATACCTTTTCAAACTTTGTGTCCTTTTTGCAATGGCACAATGTCCTATAAAAGTTTAAGTTTTTACGTAAGATTTTAATATACTTATACTATTGTTTTAAAATTTCCATTCACTACGTCTATTATATAAAGAAAATCTTGCGGAGCCATTGAATATTTTGACAAGGTGTATGATAGATGTAGCACAAAGAATGCTAAAAGTTTGATGAAAAGTAATCGAATTTCCCGGCAAGTCTCTACCTGTAATGATTTAACCATTAGAGAAGTATTTTTTTTGTTTATGAATGATTTTATATTTTAAGGTTTTGTTTAATTGATTAGATATTCTTCTGGGCATTTATTAATTAAATCATAATTAAAATTTCGATGAACAAAAAAGTGTATCTAAGTTGTAACCTCTATAATTAATGTTTTTCTTTATTATAATTCTTCACATTCAAAACAATCTTGGATTTATGTACGTTTAAAAAAAGGAACATTTTTAGATAAATTATTATAAATTTATTGAGTATGGGACTAATATATAGATAAAAAGAGGAAAAATTAAGGGAAATGATGGAAATTATAAATAAAACTAGTAGATAGCCCGTCAAAAATGACGGGGAATGAGAATTTTCTTCTTACCTTTATGATAGTTGTCACCTGTTATTTGAAAATAATATCCAATTTTTATTCTTTTTACCCCCTTCCCCTTCAAGCCAGGTTAAATTTATCAAAACTAAGTGTAAATACTATGGTTAAAAATAAATTTAAAGCTTTTACTTGATAATACCAATATTATTTGTTAAATCTTACTGATCATTTATATATACCTAATATTTTATATTAAAAAAAATTCCCAGGCAAAGTAAAAGCCATAATAATTTTAAGAAATTCTTCCAAGCACAATGAAAGATCATAATAATTTTGGTAGTTTAGAACTGAAATAAAACATTTAAATAATTATAATGAATTTAGAAATACAATCAAAATCAGATTTTCATGGGCCTTGGTTTTTTGATCAGGCCGAGCCCAGGCTTGCAAAAAAATTTGTTTTAGGCCAATGTCTGACCCATAGTTAATAATAGAAAAAATTCTCAAGCCTCCAAGCTCATAATAATTTTGAAAATTTTTCCCCAAGCCCATATAATTTATAAAAATATTTTCCAAGCCCAGCCCTACCTATAATAATTTAATAAGAAATTTTTCTCAAGCCTGGCCAACCCATAGTAATTTTCAAAATTTATTGGGAAAATTTTTCAAACTGGTTAGCTACTGGTATTTATATGAAATTCATGAATACATATTAAAGTACCATGCTGAAAATATGTTTATCCTAATTTAAATTTTAAACAAACCACCACTTTCAAATGATTTATTGCTTAGTTATAAAATATAAACTTAAATTTAAGACATTGTTATTAAATTACAATAGAAAAAATAAAAAGATATTCTAAGTTAACAAATAATAGGAGGTAAATTTCAACCATAGTCAAATTATATATAAGTAAAACAAAAAGGTTACACATTTAATCAAAAATGTTATAATAAGTTATGAATAACATACATTCTACAATTATGAAGTTATGAGAAAATATACAACACTATGGAATGCATGTAGAAAGACCAAATTTTCAGAAAAGATAAGAGAGATGCAAATATTTACTTATGCATAAAAATTACCTAATTAAAAGATATATAGTTGTATAAAAGTCAACAAATATTAGGAGGTTAACTTCAATCATAGTCAAATTATATATAAGTAAAACAAAAAGGTTATACATTTAATCAAAAATGTTATAATAAATTATGAATAACATACATTCTACAATTATGAAGTTATGAGTAAATATACAACACTATGGTATGCATGTAGAAAGGCCAAATTTTCAGAAAAGATAAGAGCGATGAAAGATATATATAGTTAAATAAATTATTGCTATCAGCTAAACCAAGCAATTGGTTTAAAAGATCTAATTTTGCAGGACTATTTATTTTTATGTGCTTACAGCCAAGGCAGTTTAGAAATCCATGTTTCTCAAAATATTCTTGTGCAATCTAAAATGTTTGATTTGCTAACTCTAAAATAATTAAAAATTATTTATTTATATTAAAAATTTACTTTGATATAAACTACCATTTCTGAAAGTGCCACCATCATATTTTATATATAAATTTGTAATTGCTATCAGCTAAACCAAGCAATAGATTTAAAAGATCTATTATAATTGTAAAAGTGGCAGATTTTGCAGGACTTTTGATTTTTACGTGCTTAACATCTAATGAGCCAAGGCAGTTTGGAAATTCATGTTTCTCAAAATATTCTTGTGCAATCTAAAATGTTTGATTTTCTACTCTAAAATAGTTAAAAATTATTTATTAATATTAAAAATGTACTTTGATATAAACCACTATTTCTGAAAGTGCCATCATCACATCTTTATATTTAAATTTGTAATTGCTATCAGCTAAACCAAGCAATAGATTTAAAAGATCTATAATTGTAAAAATCGCCATATTACAAATCACATGGGAATTACTATTGGCTTAAAATTCCTAGGATTATTATCATTGCACAAATATTTTTTAAAAGAACACTATTGGTTAAATTTGATTGACATTTTTTGAGGATTATTATAATAGATGTATACAGGGATTCGAATCCGAACCCGAAAAAGAAAACCCGAGTTTTTGGAAAAAATTTAAACCCGAACCGAACCTGTACCCCGTTTATAACATTTTCAAAACCCCGAACCTAACCTGGGAATTTTATTTGAACCCGGGTTCACTGTATTGTTTAAAATATATAAGATATTTGTATAATTGTAAATACAAATATTAATAATTTAATTGAGATTTTGTAATATTTTCAAATTTCCAATTAAGTGAAGTAGCGTTAATAAATTTTAATCAACTTAATTCATTTACGCCATTTTTAAATTTTTTTAAATTTATTCCTAAAGATTCCTATTGGAGTGTTAATAAATTTTAAACAATTAAATTCATTTGCGCCTTTTGTTTTTAATTTATTCTCAAAGTTTATTAACTAGAGGAAAATGAACAAGTCAAAATAAGAATTATTATATTGGATAATATTAATTTAAAGAAATACGTCTAAATAAAATTTTTAAAATTGATACATGACTATGCTTTTTAACTATATTTTGCCTATAAATAAAATAAAAAATTTATTTTTTATACCAAATCTATGTCTAGCTTTTCAATTATGATTTAATTATTGATTTTATTTATCAACTCAAAAATTCTTAAACCCGGAACCAAACCCCGGTTCAAAAATATATCCTTAAACCGAACCCGAATCGAACCCACCTGTATTTTTTAACCTTAAACCGAACCCGAACCTAACCCTGGCAAAAATTTTGCCGAGTTCGCATCCCTGTATGCATAAAAGAAAATTGTGTAAAATTTTATATGATTAGCATTGTATTTAAGGACTTTATATAGTGTATATAACTATAACAAATCTGTTGTTGAGAAAGAATATATTTTTTTAATTATTAATTTCCCTACTTTACTTTATAAAGCATAGAAATCAAAATAAGCCAAAATTTTATAAATAATCTATTACTCGAATTATTATTTAAAATGTTATTATATTTATGGCTGATTAATAAAACAATTTGTTGAATAAATATAACCCATAACCACGAATAAGCTAACGAAAACAGAAGGCAACGTTTTTTTCACCGACACCATTTTAGCTACATTGATGTGCGCCACTAAATCTGTCTATTCTTGGGATATTATAGCCGAAAAAGTGAAAGGAAAAATATTTTTCGATAAAAGGGATACTCCAGAAGTTGGTAAATAAAGTATAGTGTGTATATATTTATTAATGGCATAACCACATACCTGGAAATGGCTAAATCGTGATCATCACAATTAAATTAAATTTTAGCACCCAAAAGTTCTTTTTATTTAATTTTTTAATGATTTTTATGCCCGAGCATAGGTTGAAAATTTGTTAAATTTTTAGTCACTTTGAGCTGACTAACAGGGAATGCCCACTACAAATGAGTGTTTTTTAAACAATTATTATTTTTTATTTAAAAATAATTAGACAAAACTTCATTTTAACGAAATATTTTGGAGGAGTTACAAATACATACATTAGAGTATTAATGTATATATTTTATAGTGGCATGGGAGTTTATGGGCCCTCCAAAATATTTATTTTAAAAAACTATAACTAAATAAGTATCTCGCTTTTAAATAATAAATTTTTAATACCCACTATTAAATTTAACAATTTATATATCTAGTAGTAATTCAAAAAAAGCTATCAATTTTTCTTTCAATAAACAGCAGGAATTATGATGTAAAAAAAATATATTAAATATGATAAAACGTCTTTAAAAGAAATTTTTATTTGGAAACCAAATTTCAAGGTACTGATACATAATTTTTTTCGCCAAGCTAGACGAAATTAGGTTGGGGAGGGGGCGGGGTAGGAGGGAGTTCATTATCCTAATATTTGAATTGATAAATAAATATTTCAACAAGATTTAATAACGGTTAGTGAAACATCGTTTGACCCACCTATAGATGACCCCGACAATATGAACTCTATGAAAAATTTAGCTATGGAAGCTACTTATATTAATCAAAATTTCACGCAGCAAGTTTTGAGGGTAAATATTCTTTCTATAAAACCGAAATCAAATTTTTGATAATCAATTTTTTGTTTTTTTGTAATAAACGATATCTAAATATATATTAACGAAAAAACCAGGGATCCGACCCGTAATAAATATCGGTTCAATTTCAGATAAAAATAATTGTTAAGGTAGACTCATATAAAATAATATCAGTTCAGTTTGGACCTTTAAAACCTGAATCGAATCTTTTGTCATACTAACTAGTTAGAATTATTTATAGGTTAGAATCAGATAATCGTAATAAATCATATTCTTTGTAACATCCTTTATTTCTTTATATATTTCCATTATATTGGCAAAATTATTAAATCAGTTTATTAAAAATAATATCCGCGAATTCTATAACAAAAGAACATGGGATTTTTAAAACTATACAAAAACAAAAACTATTTAGAAAAAAAATACATATTTATACAATATCCATATCTGACAATTATAAGATACAACAGTTATGAACACCACTTTTTAAGATTTTTTTATCATATTGATAATACATAAAAAATTCCTAAATTATAAAATGAGATTTTATTTAATATAACTATTAGTAAAATAATTTTTTATATATAATTAAACTATTTTTAAGAATCTCTTCAATAAAATTATTTATATAAAATAAATTTATGGTTGAGAACACTTTATACTTAACTTGTAAAATAGCAATAACTATCCAATATTGCAACTGGTATCATTGTAATTGATTGACAATAATATTTTAAATATTGAATGGAAAAGGTTCAAATCGGTTCACAGGCTTGTTTATTGGAGGATCAGTTTTAGGTGGGGAAATTTTTATCAGAGATACTAATAAAAAATTTAAAAAAATTAGATTTGAAAAGTTATGTATTTACTAAAAAATGGTATCTTATTATCTCCGAAAAGATTGTAAATTCCCCTAAACCGGTTAGTAAACAGGACCTGAACTATCAAAATTTTTGTCACCCGAACCTGAACTGAATCTTTAAAAATATATGTGAACCGGGTTGAACTTTTAATTAACGGTTTTAATAATTACTATCAATTTTGATTTTTCGATATTTTTCTATTTAGTTATTGATATACCGAACCGATATTCATTACCGGATACCCAAGTTATATCTTCTCAAATAAAAATGCTCAGGCGATTTTTATTTACAATGGCCATATTGAAAAATCTTATCAAATTTTGATAAATTGTTTTGTTATTAAAATTTGAATTTTATTGAAGGGGGATGACAGGTACAAAGGCGATTTTCCCCATCCTCTCGATCCTGACGTCGATGTAGAAGAGGGCGAATTAGTTCCTAAGTTATATCGGTAAACTTTTTTTTTCCTTCAAATTATTTGCGTATGTATTAAATTTATTGCACAAAAAATATATTTTATCAAATGTGATTTAAATAAATAAAATTTATTTTTGATAATTGCACCATTTTTGAAAAGAAACTACTTATTGGATTTTTCTTAAATATACTTTATTTAATATATATGATTTATGATAAAACTTCAATTGTGTTTTTTTTTCGCTTAAAATTTTGAGATAATTTTCTTGACGATCAACAAAATATAATATTTATTTAGATTTTTTTAAAAATTTTAAGTTTTGGGGAAAATTCTGCATAAGCTTTCCATAAAAATCTTTCTTTTATATCTTCAAAGATAAAAAAAAATCTTGAGCAGTTTATGAAACCCTGGATTGAAATTATCGAGTCAGAGTTAGCAAATTATAAATCATCGAAATATATCATTTATATATTTTTTAAAAAAGATCAAAATTTCATCGAATATTATTTAGCCCTTCAAATGATTATAATTAATTTAAATTTTCTAAAAAAAATTTAGCTATCGTAAGTGGGACTTAGGAAATAATGTAGTTCTTGTTGCCAGAACAGAAATCGACGCCGTTCAATTAGGTGCTGAAAATAACGATGTACAATTCCTGAATATCAAATGTCTTAACGAATGGGATTCTAGGGTAGTATAAAATATATATTTTTTTGCCGATTACTATTTCATAAATATTCTTTCTCCAGAAGTTTTAAATGACAATATATTTTTAAATGGAAGTATTAAAAGAAATCATAAATCTCTAAAGTAACGCCACGACATTCCTGAGATATAATAAAAGTATTTCTAATTTATAACCGATTCGGTAACATAAAATTTTATCACAAAGATGAATAAATTTATTATTAATGTGATATAAATAAGGTTCTACTTATTGCCTTAAGAACCATCAAATTATTTGCTAACTGATTTAAAAAAATATATAATATATTTATGATATCTATTGAATTAGTAAAAAAATTAATGAATTAAATATTATATACCATTTTTTTCAAGTATTGCAACGGTATGGATTGGAGGAGTAAAATTGATGCCCAAAAAACTTCCGTACTCGCTAACGAGTTGAAAAACAATGCCTGTAAATTGTCTAAATGGACCGCTTCTTCTATCTTATCGGGGGCCGACTTTATTAAATTAGGGTTATATAAATATTTATTTAATCATAAAATATTTACAAGTATTCACTAAAGTTCTGGGTTCCCAATACTCTTCCACAAACACTTGCATTCCAAAGCTGTAGACAGTCATATTTTATAACATTCTTGTTTACGAAAAATAAATTAACTTATTTATATATATTTTAAAAAAGGTTTGTGTCTCGATTATACCCTACTGATTCTACTAAACACGTGATTTTAAGTGTTCAGCAATTTAGACCTTCCGACTTATCGCAAAATATAAATCTCAATTTGGTAAACGCTTGGGGTATAGTTAGGTACATTATAGATAGGATTACTCAGCTTCCCGACGGAAAATTTGTTATAATGAAGGATCCGAATAAGGTTGAACTTTATGATGACGTTAGAATAAAGCGACGCTTTTATTTATACGTAGTTTAAATTCGCTGGAAATATTAGATTTAGCATTTCTTTATAACATATCTTAGAAATAGACATACGAAAATCGGAATGAAATTATTTCTTATTTGTAATCATATGAATAATAAAACCATTATTCAATTCGCAGATATTCGATCTGAAAATTAAATTTTTTAAAATAATTTCAATATAAATTTCATTAAATTTAAAAGAAAAGATCTATAAATGTGGTAATAAATAAAAAGTTCTATAAGGAATATACTGAAAACGGTTGAATAATGAAAAGGCAATTTGTTCACGAATAATTTTTTCCTTTATTTATATTGGATTCTAATTTCGAATCGAATAATTTATTTTCGATATATTTTGGGATTAAATGAAACTTTGTGATCAAATATATTTGTTTGTTTCTCTTAATATTAGGTATAAAATCATGATTGCCCATTTAAATTTTGCCATCCAATGCTAAAATAATCAATATAAATAGATCTAGATTAGATTTTATATACTTCACATCACATTAAAAGTTTTTTTTTTACCAAACTATTTTTTAAAAACTAGTAATTTAAAAAAAATTTACCTCAAAAGCAATGTTTGAGATTATATTCGGTTCCATCAAAAGCCTTTTCATCCGAAGAATCGGATCAGAGCGACGAATCTGATGAAGAAAATGGTCGAGGCATGGATAATGAAAAAGAACGAGGACAAGGTGAGGAAGATGGGGGTTTGGAAAAAGTTCAGGAAGAAGATGAGGGAGAACAAGAACGCGAAGGAGAAATTTTGATTCAAAATAAGAAAATTGATGTGAACGACGATGGGGAGATGTAAATTATTTTGTTTTTTTTTATTAGGCGATGTCTTGCCATTTTTTTAAGATATGTATTTCTTTTACTATAAATAAATATTCCGAATATTTCATTGTAATTATGATTTAAATTTTATTATTATTTATATTATAAATATTTATACCAAGCGTCCATTGATTTTTTTTTTATCAATCAATATAACAATTTTTTTAATTCCTTATTCGATATTGATTATAATGTTTTGACCTATAACATGTAAAGATGATTACATAATAAAATATTATTATTTATCAGTCAAAAATTGTGTTTCTGGATGGGGTAAATAATTTAAATTCTTGATAATAAATTATGCTACATTTGTAGTGTTGTTAAACGGCTCGATTTTTAAAAACGGCCAATCCAATATTTAAGCCAAAAATTTAAGCAAGCTTCCTAATTTTGTTAATAGATGATCAAGCCATTCTACTATCTGGGAGCAAAATCTCCAGGCTTGCGTAAATATTTTTGGTTAAAATATCGTGTTACCCGTTTTTAAAAATCGAGCTTTTTAACAACACTACTTTTTAGCCAATAACGATACTAAAAATAAGAATGTAGTATATTTAATGAAAATAAAATCTAATATTATCATTTTTTATTTATTTATATTTATGAGATTTTATATTAAAAAGAAATAGGAAATAATGATTAACAGTATTCTATTTTTTTTTATCGGTTTAGAAATTATATGAATTTTAGCATAATGTTGAATTTTTTTTAATGTATGAAGAGTAGTTATCATTTTTTAAGTATCGGATAAAATTAAAAGCATTAGCCGATACATATGCGAATTTAACATTTTTTTACATATCGTCTGATTACCATTATAGGGTTTAATATCAGCTTAGATCAATTTTTTAAGAGAGCAATTTAAAAAATACTATATTCTCTGAAGACTAAGATAGTTGGATAATTTTTTTTTAAATTTTAGATATATTTTGACTGACAAATCCATTTTTTAGAATTTATTATATATATCTTATTGAAAACTGTGAGATAGAACTGTGTAGTCATTCATAATGGTTCTATGAACTTGGGTGGAACTATAAATAGCTTCTTTTTTTTTATTAAACCTTAGTGTTAAAAAATATCACCCCCTCCTCGATATATTTGGTACTATTATTCTAAAAATGTCCTTTTTTTAGCCCAAAGTGTATGTATTCTCAAGTTTTTTGCCGGTTTTATGTGTGAGACATCCTAAAAACATTGCCTATAATCAATAATGGTCATAATATTTTTGACAACCAAAGAATTATTCAAAAACAAAAAAATTCTAAAATCAATGTTAAATTCAACCCTCTTAGGGATTGAACTTATTTTTATGATTTCACAAGTTCTTGGTATCAACTCCATATGTATATTATAAAGGGCTAACAATCATTCTAATTTTAGAGTTATTACTTCTCAGTAATGTTTTACGGCTCAATTCTAACCGATTTTTAAAAGCTGTCAGCTCAATATTTTATATAAACGCAAGTCTGAAGAATTTGCTGATAGATGGAACAAAGGTTTGGTATCTATTAGCGAGATCTCGAGGGTTAGGTAATATCTGGCTAAAATATATAGCCGTTTTTAAAAATAGACACAAATTAGCAATTTGTAATTATTAACTTTAAATGAATTGTATTTTGTTTAAGAATACAATTTATTATTATTGTTTAAATAAAATTATCTTTTTGATCTTTTCATTTTGTTAAAAATAAAATTATATTTGATTCATAAAACCTTTCATATCTTAAGAACAGGACAATTTAACTACACTACTTCTCAGGTATATTTTATTCTTGTTGAAAAAATAAAATATTCTTTCATTGGTAGTAGTTTTATTAAAAAGCACGATTTGGGTCGATTTTTTATAACGGCCCGATTAAGATTTTACCGAAGATAATGTAAACAGACGTCCAATCATTTTTGCCAGCTATAAGCAAAATCTTTAGGCTTACATAATGTTATTTTGATTATAATCTTAATTTTGACCAGAATCGAGCTTATTAGCAACACTAATTGGTAGAAGTTAATAATGGGTAGATTTGTCAAGATATATAATAAGTTTTATATATTAGAAAAATATTCTGAAGTGTGTTTGTAGTTACACAAAGCATCTAGGCATTTTTTAGAACATTATTAACCACATTTAGCCTTTTATTATAAGGATTACGCGGTAATGATATTTTTCGATTTGTGAGTGCTGCCTGATTAATCGAGCCCATTATTCATTCAGGTTATAAAAGTATTCAAATGAGAGAAAAAGAGATTATATTTATAGTATTCTTCTACTGACCCTATATTAATATTGGAACGATGGGCTTGCCTTGCTGCGAATCGAGGTAAAAATATTAAATTCATAGAGATCTGCACTTGACTCAACAATGATATATAATTTATTAATTTCTAAATTAACATTTGTCATAATTTTCTTAAGTTCAAATATAATGCTATCAGCTATTCTCATAGTCTGAATCAAATCGATGCCAATCTTATGAAATATTACATTAGTTTTGTAGTGAAAAGGTTTCAAATGATTGAAATTTTTTTAAATGGTAGATAAATATAATGCTGAGTAAACTTTAAAATCGAATAAATTTTTAACCGGGGGAGGTGGTTACCCATCTGTTTTCCCTTCTGTGATTTCGCCTGTGTAAATGAATGAATTAAAATTAGCATTAAAATCAGTATCAAAAATTTATTAATAGATAAGAATTTTTTTACCAATTATTTTACCTTTATCAAATAAAGTCAAGTAACAAATAAAGTATAATATTTATTTTTTACTCTACCCTATCCCCTTTAAATACCTATCCAATACCTCCTTCAAAATAATTGAAATTAAATAGCTCTATCCCTCGCACTCTTTCTTATGTCGATGCTGTATAGCAGTCAGCATCTACATGACAATTCACTGGTAGAACCCGCCCCCCCCCCACATATACTTAACCTAGTGTTGTTAAACGGCTCGTTTTGAGCCGAATTTTCGGTTAACTCAATATTTTATTCACAGAATAATATTAAGCAAGCCTGAAGATTTTGCTTGTAGAAGGAACAAAGGTTTGGACATTTACTAGCGGAATCTAGAGGCTTAGTAAAAATTAATCTGGATAAAATATTGAGTTGGCCGTTTTTAAAAGTCGGCTCAAAACGAGTCGTTTAACAACGCTAACTTAACCCCTAAAAAATTACCACCTCCAGCAGCGATGTACCCATATTATCAGGGATATCACTAGCCTTTACAATTTCAGGGGGTTCAAATTTTTTTTTAATATTTTCAAAATTATACCCTTTTTTTTAGCTAACATTATCCAATTACCTTTTTTTAAAGCTAACATTTTCAAAACATTTTTTTTAAAGCTAACATTTTTAAAATACTACCTACTCAAAAAAAAATTTCTAGTGACGCTATTTCACATTATTAGTTATAAGTTTTTTTATCATAATGATACTCCCTTCATGTATTTTAAAAAGATAAAATAAATGATCAACACTCTACTACCAACTACAAAAAAATTCAATGTAAAGAGATATTTTTAACATAAATTAAATTTAAAAAACCCTTCCTTTATATAGAATAGTGTTTGGCATGGATATGAGTTTGATGATAGAATGCCCCACCCTTTTAAAATTTATAAAGATAACAGAAATTATCCTCATTTGGAAAATAATGACTATGATTGTATTCAATATATAGATCGAGTCGTTGTTTTATCATTGTATTATATAGGTCTTGTAAAGTATTAAATAATCTTAAGAATTTAATTAATAGGCCTGCAATAAATATATCCTATTCCTAGCCTAGCCCCCTTTGATGCCTACCCTCTACCAACCTTAAAAATAAATGAAAGCAATCTTATCTACCCCCCCCCCCTCTTCCGCTAATTTAAACACTGCTAGCAGTAATGTTAATTGATTTAATTGGAATTGTGATTACTATTTTTTTTTAAAATAATTTTTGTTTCCTTTACGGAAATAATATATCGGAATTTTTTTAGAGGATCTTTAACATCTCATCATCCCTATCTATTATAACCAATGGTCACCTTATGATATGCTCATACTGGCAACTAGTGAGTTTGTAAATGATAAAATCATTTTGTTATCACTCTCCCCCTGGCTACATTCGCATTGGCTACGTTATAGTTTTGGTCCACATTTAACATCATGACTTAAAATTTCAACTGTATGACCTTCAGATTCTCTTTTAACCAGGCATGGCCAAATATTAAAGAGAAAACGAGTTAGCTTCAGTATATGTTTGTGTTAAATAAATTTTTGGAATATGCTATCAAGGAGCAAAACCTTATATTACGCTTTGCAACAATACATTATCCGGGAGGACTATACTTAGCAAATTTTTAATAATTATTTCATTCAAAGCGTTTATGTTTTCTTATTTAATGATAAATATTTCCTCATTTTTTATTGTCTACTTTATTTTTAAAATTAAAACAAATAAACATTTTTAATATATTATTTTAAATTATGGAGACAATTTATTTTATTAAATGTCTAATTCAAATTTCCAAAAAATCAGCTGGCTTTTTAAATAAACGAAATCACCAAGCAAGTTATAATTGCCAAGAGTCAGATAAATAAGTTTGATTTTAGAATTTAGATTATATTATTTTCAAATAAATAAGTATTTATTATATGTCTTATTCTATTTTTGTATATTAAAATTTAGAAATGGGAAGGATTTTTTTGGGACACATTGGTGGAACCCGTCTTTTCTCATGTGCTAGTTGTGATACAATTTTGACAAATAGATCTGAATTAATATCCACACGATTTACTGGTGCAACTGGAAGAGCTTTTTTATTTAATAAGGTTAACTAAATGAATTATCTTAAAAATAAAAGGATTAGAATTATATGAATATAAAGATAATTTAAAAAAATGTTTAACCAATCTGCTAATAATGTAGTTACAATATTTTTATTTCATTTTGGATAGTTATATTTTCTCAAAGTATAAAAAAAGTATTACTATCGCTAAGAATATTTACAAAGTTTATCTTAATTTTTTTTTTAAATATTGTAAATTTCACAATAAAATTTAAGGTTTTAGCCAAATAAAAATAATAGTAATATTTTACCTTGAGGTAAATATTTTCTATATGAATGTTTTGAGTTGTTTGCTAATTAATATTAGTTTAATAAAATAAATAGCATATAATATGAAAGGTAGAGGAATTATGTTTTTCTCTATTATAATAGGTTTCATAGCTTGCACAGGTATTTCCCAGGGCTGTTAATCCAGACCTAGAACCCTTTGAACACTGATATTTTATTGAATCTGAACCATGTAGGGTTCAAGAATTTTTATAATTTTTCATTTCATTTATTTTATATTTTTATTGCCGGGATGGCCTAATGGGTTATGATGTATGCTTGGAAACAGAAGATGCAGAGGACACAGGTTCAATTCTGGTAAGAAGCACAAAAATTTTCAGGCTTTTCTTTGATGACGGATGTGTAAAGACATATAGTAAGATGAATTTCGGAGCTTAGAGATGACACCCCGGTCACCGGGCCTGGACAGCCGGGTGCTAAGGATACTTGTCCAATAAACAAAATGAAGGAAACAAATGAAAATATGAATATGAAAGCTAGGGCGTTCCCTCCAAGCGATGTACAGGGTGTAGACCTCCATCCTGCAAAAAGTAAAATAAAGGTCAAAGAAAAGAAGACAAGGTTAGCAAGTTTGAATATTAGGACAATTAAAGGTAAGACGAGAGAATTGGCATCAATGTTGAACAAGAAAAAAGTTGATATAGCGTGCATAGAAGAGACAAAATAGAAAGGTCAGAAGACTTTAATGATTGGAGATGGGCATAAATTGTACATAATGAAATTGTTAGCAATAGGAACAATGTCGGCATCCTCAGTAGTAGAAGTCAGCAGGATCTCTGATAGACTAATGAAGATAAAACTCTGCATTGGTCAATCAATACTACACATCCTTTCAGTATATACTCCTCAAATGGGTTGCAAGGAAGAAGAGAAAGATGACTTTAGAGCTATCCTTGATGAAGCTGTAATGGAAATCCCTAAGGATGAACTAGTCATAATAGGTGGTGACTTAAATGCGCATGTGGGAAAAGCAAGAGATAGCTACAAAAGGCATCATGGTGGTTTTGGATACAGAGAAAGGAATGATGAAGTAGGGCATGTACTGAAATTTGCACAACCTTCGACCTTGTCTTAACCAACACCTACTATAGGAAAAAAGACAGTCATTTAATAACATATGAAAGTGGTACAAGGAAAACACAGATAGATTACATGCTAATCTCTTGCAGAAGATTAAAAGATGTAATAGACTGCAAAGTCATCCCAGGAGAAGATATAGCGTGCAACACAAGCTATACTAGTCATGGATTTACACATCTCAAATAAATCCACTAAAAATAAGATAAAACTTGAACCATGCATAAATGGGGTAAATTAAAAACAGTGACAGATGCCTTTGCAATCAATGCAAACATTGAAACAATAGATTCCTCACAAGTCAGTTAAAAAATGTGGACAGACCTTTCATCCTGATTAATAGACACTGCCAAATTGACACTAGGCTTGACAAGGGGAGGTAACAAATCATACAAAGAACTATGGTGGTGCAATGAAGAGGTACAAACCACTATACAGGAGAAAAAAGCCCTTTATAAAATATGGTACAAATCCAAAAACCCAGATGACAAAAAATTCAAGAGAATAGCTACAAAGGCGGTGGCTAGGGCCAAATCTATGGTATACAATGACATGTATGAAGAACTACATACCAAAGAAGGGCAAAATAAAATATACAGATTAGCCAAACAGCGAGAAAAGAATTCTAGGGATATAAATGGAGCTCCGAAAGAATCAAAAATAAAAATGGGAAATTGATAATAAAGGAAAAAAAAATAATGAATAGATGGAAAGAATATTTTCAAGGAGCTTCTCAACTTTAATCCCCACATACTACATCTAGACGAACACTCCCCATATCAAAACCTTATACCACCAATAACAGAACAAGAGATAATCACATGCCTCATGCATATGAAAAACAACAAAGCTAGGGGGTTCAGATGATATTCCAATAGAAAGCCTTAAAGCACTAGGAGATGATGGAATACATTTCCTCACAAATCTATACAATAAAATACTTGGAAATGAAGAGGTTCCTCAAAAATGGAGGCAGAGCTATCTAGTTCCTATCTTCAAAAATAAAGGGGATCCACACAATTGTCAAAATTACAGGGGCATAAAACTAATGTCACACTGTCTAAAACTATACGAAAAAATAATAGAAAAAAGATTAAGAGACATAATCGAAATAGGAGAAACTCAGTTAGACTTTATGCCTGGAAGATCAACAACTGATGCTATCCACCCAATTAGGCAAATGAATGAAGAATAAAGGGAAAAGAACAAAAAGCTACACATGGTCTTTCTCAATCTAGAAAAGGCCTTCAATAGAATCCCAAGAAAACTTATCTGGTGGGCGCTACGCCACAAAAAGGTTCCCGAAAAATATATAAGAATAATACAGGATATGTATATGGGCCATACAACAATGGTCCGTAGCACAACAGGTACTTCAGCAGGCTTCACATAGCCGAAAGAGTTCATCAAGGGTCGGCTCTCAGCCCACTTGTCTTCATTACAGTAATATATGTATTAGCACAGTCTATACCTCAAACAGTCCCGTGGAATATAATATTGTGATACTTGCCGAATCCAAGGATGAAATGAAAGAAAGATTAGTGAGTTGGATAAATATCCTAGAAAAGCACGGACTAAAAGTAAATAGAGAAAAGACGGAATATATGGTGATAGGAGGAGATGAAAAGAGAGCATTGATATAAATGAATGGCAGATATTGGCAATTGAAAGCTGCAAATATTTGGAATCCACTATACAAACTAACGGCACAATAGAAAAAGAGATAAAGAGTAAAATTAATCAAGGGTGGTTAAAGTTGAGATCTTTATCTGGAGTGCTATTTGACAAAAGAATTCCACACAAATTAAAGGGAAAAATTTACAGTTCCATAGTACAACCAACTCTTCTATATAGTTCGGAAACATGGCCAACCAAGGAATCAGACGAGAGAAGTCTACAAACTATGAAGATGAGAATGTTGAGGATGATTGCTGGGATAACAAGAAAGGATAAAGTGCGCAGTACATGAATACTAAGTAGTTTAAAGGTAGTGCCCATTAACACTAAGTGAATGGTAAACAGACTTAGGTGGTATGGGCACACAATGAGGCCTATGAACTACTTAGGAAATAAGGTTGAGAATTTGGAAGTGATGGGCAAATGTAAAAGAGGAAGGCCAAAACTTCAATGGGGCCATAAAGTTAGAGCCAATATAAAGAAGTATAAATTAGATAAAAGAGATTGTATAAATAACATAAAGTGGAGAGAGATGTTGAAGGAGATTACCACCAGAAAAGGTGAAACTAAAGAGAAAAAAAAATTATTTTATATATTACCTTATTTTTATTATTTTATTTTTTAAACAGCATAAAAAAATTAACATGTAAAATATTTATGGAAAACATATTAAACATTTACAACATCATGGTTTTTTTTCTATTTTTAATATTAAAAATCATTTTTCGTAGAATCGTTTTTTATATTAGTATCCATTTTATTTAAATTTAGATTTTTCCAAACCCTGAACCCAAACTGGGTTCAGTGATTTTTCATTGAACCCAAACCAGAACCTTTTTTTTAGAAGGAGGGTTCACAGCCCTGTTTAAATCTGGCCTGGGAAAATTTTTTTTGGCATGACCTTAGTTTTTCTATTTTAAATCATTTTTTTTCAAATTTTCCAAGGAATATAATGTCATTATATGATCTTCAACTGGTTAATTGATATAATTTAATTATATATGTTTTTTTAGAAAACTTCAGGTTTTGTAAAAATAAATAGAAGTATTTGTATTTTTTTAAATCTGTTCCTGATATTTAACATAAAACCATTTATCAGACTGCTCAGGAGTGAGATAGGTTCTAGGGTTGGCATGCAAATGTTTGATAGAATTTTAAGCAGAGCTGCATCTATACTCAGTATTGGTCAGTATCGGTATCACACAATACTTTAAATTTTAACCAATACTAGTGACCAATGCTCAAGAATGATAATTAACCTTCATAAATATAAAAGAATTAGCCAACATTTTGCTATGAATTTATAAAAAAAATCATGAAAATTTCTAAACTGATAAGAAAAATAAACTAGGTACTGTTAATCTTTATTTCTAGGTTGTGCTGATTCACTTTTTCGCTGATCCAATCCGATATTTTCCGATATTACTACAAAGCTGATCCAATAACCGGTACCGATTCCATATTAGTGTTAAATGATATATTCAGAAAAATATTACACAAGCCTGAAGATTTTGCTAATAGATGACACAAAGGTTTGGACATCTATTAACGAAATCTCTAGGCATAGGCAATATTTCTGGCTAAAATATTAAGTTAGTCATTTTTAAAAATCGGCTCAAATTTAGCCGTTTATCCAATATTATTTGGTCCATAACATTATATAACAAATTAATAAATTTTATTCGCCATCTTGACCCAATATTAGAATATAGAATGCTTGATCTGATATTTAATAAATCGGTACGTCACCAGTTTTTATTGTAGGAAAACATGATTGTTTAAAAGTTATATTTTACAATACTAAAATAATATATAATAAAAAAAAAGCTTAATTATGGTTTCAAGGTTTTGATGTCTTTCATTTTATCGATTTTATACTTAATATTTTGTCTCTTTGCGTCCAAATATTATCTCCCGTTATCAAATATCATAATGCTTATT